TGCGATGCGATAGAATAAATTGTTACATATGTTAAATACCATATTATATACATATAGCGTATATAATTATATCCATTTTGCACTTAATAATACAGCTTAATGACCAAGCTCAGAGTCCTAAGACAACAATTATAATATAGCCCCAATGGGTTAAGCCGTTGATTCATGAGTTTGCAATACAAAAGATGCTCAATCTTTCTGTTTCTGTTAAGAACTTCTTTTATCGTCTGTAAAGTGTAAGTTTCTTTCTCTTTCGATTTGCAAACTAAAACAATGAAGGTTACAAGGGAATATATTTTTGTTAAACTTAGTATTGTGGGTGATAACCAACCACCCTTTTAGGAAAGCTCCACCGTACTGTCCCCTTTAGGAAAGCTCCACCGTACTGTCCACACTTTTAGGAACGTTCCACTGTTCTGTCTTCCACTGTACTGTCCAGTTCCCGTAAATACCGTGATCAGTGAGCCGGCAGTACAATCAATCCAACTAGCCGGGCTAGTAGCCCATTCGCTGTACTCACTAGATGTGTGTCCCAATTTTAATCAGTTCACGAGCAAGTGAAATAAATTGGTCACCTTTTAAGCCGTGCCTTGATAATACTAATAGCTTAATAGCTATGTATGGAACTGATTACTAACAATGAGGGGTCGTTCACATACCCCGTAATCAGTTTTACCATAGCTATTATATTTATGTCAATATTACACTAGCGTAATCAATAATCATTTGAAAACCCCAACCACCTCAGCTGATTACGTAATACTAATATGTAAACGACCGTCGACCCTTAACATTTCGGGATCGGAAGAAAGCGGCACGTACTATTTCGACGAAATTTATACAAGTTACTAACATCGTTGATTCATGATGCCAATCTTTCACAGCTCAGTGGTGCATTTCGCCGAAAAGCATTATTGGATACCGAGAAGCATTTTTGGATGCGCGGCGCGACACACTCACAGTAACGCATCGCGCGCGTTGATTCACGATGTCAATCCTTCACTGTTCATGTTCACAGCTCGGCGAGGCCCAGTCATGGTGCATATCGCCAATTTAGTAACATAGTTGGTCAGTTCGTACAAAAGTCGTAAAAAATTCGTACAGTTCGGCACGTTTTTTCAGTTCGGGATTAGTTTGGGAAAAATTCGCCTCATAAATTTTCGAAATATATAATGAAAAGCTAATTGCAACAAGAAATGCGGCCGCTTTTCTTTTGTGGATGGCCGCTCAATTTCCCGATCCGTGATGGCGTATTTATCATATTCCATACAACCTGGGGACGGCTCAGTCTTTACTGTTTATATAAACATGCAAATATGGCGAAGTGACATGCCGACTGCCCGGCCGAGCGCCGCCCAGTTAATATAATTCTATATTGAATTTGAAAATCGTGTATACTTCTATGTAACCATAATATGTTTATTGTTTATGCAACCTGACACGGATCTGTGCAAAATAGTAATACTAACTCAAAATAATAATAATATGCTATTAATTAGTGCCTAGTGGGATACGTACATGATGAAATTAATAATGTACTTGGTTGGTTCAGCGCCGCGCGCCAACAATTATATAATTCAGATTGTCACGCAAAATAACTTTGCGCAGGTAGTCACGTGGGCGATAACAGTGCTCGCAGGCACGTACGGTCGCGGTCGCACACTCGCACGGTCGCAAAGCTACCATATAAAAAAAACCTCGATCGCTAACCCTTGTCCTTGACTCTTTTGTGCCTTTGGCACTTTGAGTCATGGATCGGGAAAAAATTTGTGTTTGGCGGGAAACGATGACGTGCGGATGCATGTTAATATTTTAAATCTGAAATTCAACCTCCCGGACAAAAATAACAAATTTTTCGGACTGAAGTGATTACATTTACTGATTAAAAAAACAAAATTTTTTTTAAAAATTCGGTAAAAATTCCTCGACAGCTTTTTAAAATTTGTACAGTTCGACACCTTTTAAAAGTTCGTACATACAGTAACGTAAAGACCAAGTATGTTTAGTAAAGCACTAGTGGTTGCAAGAAGCATTATATTATTGGCTGCGCGGCGCGGCCCAGTAGTGCATCGCGCTACAACAAACATCGTCAAATAGATTACTCGAAGCTCAAAGCTGTAAAGTATTTATCCAAAATAATTCCGATCCCGAGGATCGATTGTTACTGGGCCGCGCTCAGCCTGTCATTCCGCCAAATCTTTATTCGCCAAATCTTAATGTTTATGAACATAATAGCCTGGGTCCCAAGGTAAAAGGATTGACATAACTTATAAATTTATAATATATTAATTCTAAATACTGAATGCATCGCATTTTAAGTGTTTTGGTATTTTCGTAGCTAAATTGCACTAAAGCTTTCGCGCTTGCGCTTCACACTTGCGCGTAGTTCGTAAACTGAAAACTCGTGGGTACGATATATGTGATTACTGAACAATAAATTCGGCTCGACTCTCATTACATTCTTTTAATAACTTGCTGTGCGAGATTTCAATACTATTAATTTGCAAATGCTAATTTAACATTTAGATCTTTACATCATCTTCTTTCACATAGCCATGTGTCTAAGCGTACGTACTACTAGCGAGAGGGCTATGGTTAGAGCATAAACAGGTATTATACTGGACGAATCTCACTCGTTAACGGGTGATACTCGTAATTTACTATCACGCGCCGCTTTTTCTCAAAATATTAGTCTAAGCCTATACCAGCCGGCAAAGTTTTTATATGTAACCTACATACAACGTTAAAATTTAGTTGAGTTTTGAACGTTGCTTATAGTTGATAAGGTAACCTTGATCTAACGTAAAATAATAAACGTTTTGCAACGTTAAAAATAAAAACTATAACCAACGTTAGATATTCAACGTTTAACAACGTTTTATATGAAACCTACATACAACTTTAAAATGTAGTTGAATTTTAAACCCTGCTTATAGTTAATAAGGTAACCTTGATCTGACGTCAAATAATAAACGTTTTGCAACGTTAAAAATAAAACCTATAACCAACGTTAGATATTTAACGTTTAACAACGTTTTATATGTAACCTACATACAACTTTAAAATGTAGTTGAATTTTAAACTCTGCTTATAGTTAATAAGGTAACCTTGATCTGACGTCAAATAATAAACGTTTTTGCAACGTTAAAAATAAAACTTATAACCAACGTTAGATATTTAACGTTTAACAACTATAGCCAAAGCTATAGCTGTCGCCGCGATATCTAGCGCTAGATAGCGCTATCTAGCGCTATCTAGCGTAAACTGTCACAAACCGACATTCTCCGCTAGATAGCGCTATCTAGCGCTAACAAGCGTTATCTAGCGGAGAATGTCGGTTTGTGACAGTTTACGCTAGATAGCGCTATCTACCCTGCCGTTTTCTCAGAAAAGGCAGTAAGTCCAATTTTTCGAAATATAACAATATTGGTATCAAAATTTTCAGTACAAAATTCTCTACAACATGAGCTACATATTAATGTATGGAAACATTGTTGCATGCAATTTCTAAGGAAGTAAGTCCCAGTTGAGAAACATTATGTTCGGTTTTGGCCAATTATTTTCTGAGAGAAGGACGTAAGTCCGGACTTACTGCCTTTTCTGAGAAAATCTTGAAAATCTTCAGAGATAAGGAAGTAATTCCGTGGACTTACTGCCTTTTCTGAGATAAATTATCTGTGATAGGAAGAAGTAGCTGGACTTACTTCCTATAAAAGCATGCTAAAAGCGGAATTTTAGATAGCGATTTCCCAAAAAGAACATAACTTTACTGCCGATTGATATTTTCGCTTGACATTTTCAGAATCGATGTATAATTACATTTCAACTTTACTTAAGTGATCAAAATTTTCATTTAGGCCTCAAAAAAAATTTGGTGGCCGATTTTCAAAAACGCCGGATGTATTTTAGTCGCAAAACATAAACATTGGAGCAGTTATTGAGCTGTTATAATCGCAGAGAATGTTTAGTTTAGGTATATCTTTTAGATCAAGTTCATTTTCATCAAAATATCGATAAGATATCATTTAATGCACTGAAATCTTTCAAAATTGGCGAGTTTGCCTAAATAAGGGCATACTATTATTCAAAAACATTTATTATATGATATGGAGCAATTTAGATTACCTAATTGTTTATATTTTACAATATAATCCAAAATACATAGATCCAAACCTCAAAAATTTAGTAAAAAGCTTGGACTTACTTCCTTCTCAGAAAAATATTGAACAGAGATTTTTCTCAGAAAAGGAAGTAAGTCCAAGTTTTCTCAGAAAAGGCAGTAAGTCCATCCAGTATGAAAAATAAGCTCGATTATTTGGCATAAAAATGGTTATATCTAAGCTTATGGACGGCTCAAAGCTTAAATTTTTTGACAAATTAAAATTTGACTAATTATTGAAAACTCAACGTGTTTACTTTCGATCTTACGCAAAAAGTAAGCGGAGAAAAAACCATAAACACAAAAGTCGCAATATCTCGAAATGGCAAATATGGACTAATTACTGCCTTTTCTGAGAAAACGGCAGTACCGCTAGCTGTCGCCGCGATATCTAGCGCTAGATAGCGCTATCTAGCGCTATCTAGCGTAAACTGTCACAAACCGACATTCTCCGCTAGATAGCGCCAGATAGCGCTAGATAGCGCTAGATAGCGCTGCGTCAGATGTCGTTGCGACATATAGCGTTAGATAGCGCTAGATACCGCTAGATGTCGCAAAAAAAGGGCGGAAATTTTATGAAAATAGCGCTATCTGTCGCCTGGCGTCAGTGCTGCGTGCTTAGCGTCATCTAGCGTCATCTAGCGTCATCTAGCGTCATCTAGCGTCATATAGCGTAATATAGCGCTAGATAGCGCTAGATAGCGCTAGATAACGCTAGATAGCGACATTCGAAAGGTGCCGTGCACTTAGCGACAATGTCGCTAATTGGCGTCATCTAGCGTCATCTAGCGTCATCTAGCGTCATCTATCATCATCTGGCGATATTTCACGCTAGATGACGCTAGATGACGCTAGATGACGTCATATGTCGAATTTCAACTATCAGTAAAGGTCCGGAATGTGGAGTGAACAAGAATCCCTGAATACAAAGGATAATTTTCTGAAAAAGTAATATCATAGTGAAATTTACAAACCATTATAAAATCGATTTATGTAATATGTAAATAACATTGTGACAACAGTCAATTTGCTTTATCTGGCGATCTAAATGGACTCACGTAAGAAAATTCTCCAGGCAGGCCAGGTTGACCATCATATCCGGGAACTCCAGGCTCTCCTCTGCCTCCACGTCGTCCAGGCATTCCAGCGAGTCCATCCAGACCAGGCCTTCCCCCAGATCCCAGCAAACCATCGTCACCTGGTCATTGGTCAAGACTCAGTCAGTAAAATTTTACACTCGTAACTTGTTGAAGCTTTGAAGCTTGTATATTACCGCCCATAAGGTTAGCAAGTGTCAGGTACTAACCATGTATAAATAAATAATTTCAACATCTTGATCTTTTCTCGCTCTGAACGCGTCAATTTGGAGGTGATAAGCGTACTGTCACTCAGATGACAGATTTAAACGATTTATTACCTATTTTTTATTTATTTTGTTCTTTTTTCAATTACCTGGTGCTCCCCGAGCTCCGTCAGCACCGGGGTCTCCCCTTTCTCCCTTTTGAGCGTAACGTACTTTACCGTCCCGACCATCTTCTCCTGGACTACCTAAAAGAAGTTAAAAGGTAACATATAATGCCTTCGACTGCACAACTATTCAAAAAAAATACATTTCACTCAGTTTAATTGAGTTTATCAATATTTTGAACCTAAAACTCTCTACCTTTTCGTCCATTTAAGCCAGTAGTGCCATCAAGTCCCCTTTCACCAGGAGTACCATCAGTTCCAGCAGTACCAGGTGCTCCTGGAGGTCCTCTCAAACCAGGGGTTCCTCCCATTCCTCTCAAACCTGGTCTTCCGGGCATACCGTTCACTCCTACACGGACATTCGATTAGGTCGGTAGTCTAATAATAATCTAATAACATAATGACTCATTGTCTTCATAGTTTAATGACTCATTGACTCATTGTCTTTATAGTTTCGTGTAGTTTTTACTCATAATTGTCTACAGAGAGTAACCTAACAATTAAAAATATTAATTAACTAATTAACTAATTAACTAACTAAATAACTAACCTGATGTACCCTTCTGACCGTTCACTCCGTTAAACCCATCTCTACCAGGTGAACCAGGTTCTCCTCCTAACCCAGGCTCTCCACCCTGGCCTGGGGTACCAGGGACACCAGCTCGTCCCGGGGAACCGGGCAGTCCTCCGTCCCCCATGAGACCGTCAATACCCTGACAAAGGGAGGGGGTTGTTATTCGTAGTGACAAGATAGGGGTAAACATTGATCAGACTGTTTAAAATGATGAATTGAACCCCAAAACCGAGGCAAAATTGACGAAGTTTTGCTTTGTTTTAGAAGCTTACGTTAATTCCTGGTGCTCCAGAGGTACCTGCCTCTCCTCGCTCTCCGTTTTCTCCATCAGCACCATCTTCTCCTCTCATTCCTGGGAAATTCAATATGGTTAAAACGTATCACTTTTTTAAAAATGTTCCTTTTTTCTGATGTTAGACCGGATTCAGTTTTTATTTACTGATTGACAACGTTTTCCTTTATCTTATAGTGCTCGATTTGAAAGTACGGTTCATATGTTCTAAACAGAAAAAATAAAATATTATATAAGTTCAGGACAACATTGACCTGGTAATCCTCGCATGTCCAGACCGGGTGCACCGTCCAAACCTGGATCTCCCATAGCACCGGGTAAACCGGGGGTTCCTGATAAGAAATATTGTTAGGTTAATTTGAAACTTAAATAATTTAATTTTGAACGAATATTTACTGAAATAAACTCTTAAATCAGTAGTAGCGATACTGTAGCAGCACAGTTGTAGTAGTACTGTAGTAGTACTGTAGCAGTACTGTTATAGTACTGTATTACTGTATTATGTATTAGTAACGAAGTAATATCAGTACTTGACTCTCTTGCCAAAAAAGGCTCTGATAACTTGGACTCCACTCAAGTGCTACTACCAATACCAAAAGTATTATGGAAGGGAGCGCTGCGGCAGCGGAGCATAAGTCATCAAAAAATGAGGGAAAGATGGAGAACGTTGCCCAACACTCACTTCAAACGAGTATGGAGACACAAGTTCGCCAGATCAATCCCGAAACTTGGCAAAGAGAGCACAAGAAAAGCAACACAATTCCTTACTGGACATTGTGAACTAAACTACCATACTAATAAGTTCAAGCCGACAACGGTCCCTAAAATTTGTCCACACTGTCTCATGGAAGAGGAGATAATGAACCACTTTATTGGTCAGTGCCCAAAGTGGTCTTACCAACGAGGAGGATACTTTTACTCCTTCTATCTTAGTGTGACAGAAATAGTGGACAAGTTCTCACTACCAAGGATCATCGGCTTCATACAAGCAACAAAACGATTCACCAAATGCGGAGAAAACAAAGTTTAACTTTTTTCTCCACTTATTAATATTTTACCGGGGTAAGCACAGGGCTCCAATGCTCTATTTTACAGTGGTCATGATCTATCTTATAGTGATAATGACCACAGCCCCCTACGAAGAAGAAATAATATCAGTACTGTATCAGAATACTATATTATAATCACCTCTCATTCCTATTTCAAAATATATATAATATATACATGTATGATGTATAATCTAATTTTAACCGAATATTAACTGAAATAAACTCATAAAATGGGGTAAGCAGTACAGTTGTAGGATTGATGTATTAATAAAGTAACAGTAGAATTGTAGAAGAACAACATACAACTATATAATCACCTCTCATTCCTAATTCACCAGGGTTACCCCCGGGCACCAGGGAGTCCTGGTTTGTCCGGATAGCCCATCATTTCCAGGTTCTCCTGGTCGACCAGGTAAAGCGAATCCCTGCAGGTTCAAAAGTTAAACTTTCATTAAACTAATTTATTTAATCACGGAAGTTAACTGATTAGGTATAAAATCGGATTTATATTATGCACGTTCAGAGACCTGATTCAGTTTGTGTTGCTTTACAGTAAGATGCATGTTTGCATATTAATAAGACTTCTCCATATTGATAAGACTCACAGTGGGTCCAGGGCGGCCAGGTTCTCCTGGTGCTCCACCTCTTCCAGGTGAGCCAGGTAGTCCAGCTCCTCCGGGACCTCCCATAATTCCTAGATCTCCGGGAGCTCCTCTGTTTCCTGTGAGATGTTAGTTTTTTGAAAACCAGAACACCAGTTAAAAAGTATGATAGGGACATGAAAGTTTGTGTTAAATTAAAAATCTAGTGCGGGTTCATATTTGTTCAGAAACAGAACCTCCTAAAATCCTACGGATACCAAACAAATAGACGTAATTTATTCCCACCTGGTATTCCGAGTCTTCCATTGCTTCCTCTCTTCCCGGGTGCTCCTCTTAGTCCTGGGGTACCCTGAAATATATCCGGGATCAGGGACGAGTTAGATACTACCAGCAACTTTACAAAGGGGTCATGTGTCATCTGTTATAGGTTAGCAAGAGTTGTTTTGTCCAGATGGAAATAGTCAAGGCTAATACATTAGTAGCAAAGAGTTTGGGAAGGACGATACTTACAGGGAAGCCAGCATACCATCAATACCAGGGCCTCCTGGCGTTCCTAATCTTCCGGGCTCTCCGTTTAATCCGGGGGTTCCGTCATCTCCCTGTTGGTGCATTGCATAAGATAACAATTTATTAACAAAGCATTTTGCGTCTTCTTACAAGACTTTTGTTAAATTATTAATAAAATTTTGCTAGCTATCACCGGAACACTTCTTTTCTAGTAGCTCACACACCTTAAAATTGTACCAAACCCCATAGTAACATTACACAGCAACATGTCAAATAACTCACCGGAAGTCCACCTCGTCCCCTAAGAGGAGGTAGTTTAGGGAGTGGTCCCCGGTTCTCCAGGTGCTCCTCGCAGACTCTTACCAGGTTCACCTGTCTCACCAGGTAACCCTCTTTGTCCGGTTCCGCCTCTGGATCCTCCTCTACCTGGGGACCCCTGTAATAGTTTTACAGGTTAACATGTTGTATGGTTGTGTATAATATCAAGTGTTTTATCTATCAGTGAGAAACATCTTTTTACCACTACTTAGACTTTTGTCGATTGCCTTTAGTAGTCTGTTTCATGACAATGGAATTATGCCAGAACATGAATTCAAATAACCAACTCACATTTCTGCCAGGTCTGCCATCTTTACCCCGGTCTCCAGGTTCACCAAGTCCACCAGGTGTGCTTGGAATACCGTCCCTCCCAGGCTCTCCTCGGTCACCAGGTCTTCCGGGTCTACCCTGAACACGGCAATTTGTTAGTCAGATGAAATACGAGCAGTTTCGTCATATATTTTGGTGCTGTGGTCGTCTACGGTATTTTGGTGATGAGAACTAGACTCACCATGTCTCCCATTGAACCAGGTCTGCCCCTGTTTCCGTCCCTTCCTCCTTCACCGCCATCACCCGGGAGACCAATTGTACCTGGGCTACCAGGGGTTCCTGACTGTCCGGCTTCTCCTCTACCTCCTAGATGGAAATTTCGTCACAATAATGTTATTTATTCTTTAAAGGGTCCGATGAGAAAATTTGAATGGAAAGAAAACTACAGAAATGAACAAAGACATCAGAGAAAAATATCCAGGAGACAAACATTATCAGAGAAAATCGTTTTTAGTGGGTATTGGTTTGTTTTGATAAAAATTATATTACGATAAACTGACCTGGTCGTCCAGCAGTGCCAGGAAATCCTGCTCTGCCAGGAGCTCCATCAGCACCAGGTTCACAGGTTCTCCTCTTCTGTGTTCTGACCGGGCTCACCAGCTCGTCCCTGGTCTCCGGGCTCTCCTCTCTTTCCGGGGGAGCCTGGTGATCCACCTCTTCCTAGACGACCTGGGTCTCCCTGTCATAAGAGATTTGTGAGAAAATATAAAGTTGTGTAATTTAGGTTACGGTGAATTATTGTAATCGGCCCAAAACAAATCAGTTAAGTTTCAAAATATTTGTTTGGGATTTTGAACTTAGGCACCAAAATCCTATCTAGTTCAAACTCACAGTTAGACCCGGTGTTCCCATGGATCCGGGAGTACCAGGTTCTCCGAACTCTCCTCTAGTACCGTTACACCCGTCAACACCAGCTTGTCCGGGGTTACCATCAACTCCGTGTCTGCCTGGTCTTCCTGCAGGGACAGTTACTAGTCAGTACTCTGAGCCAAATACAACAATGTTTAAAATTGCTAAACAAGTTTGAGTAATAAATTATGATCATGAATTAACCAGTAATCGACCGGAATCGGCAATTTTGAGCTATCCCGGTCCCGGTCCCGGTCAAGTCACATTTTTCATCCCGGTCCCGGTAAATTGATAATCTCTTTGAATCTCAGTCCCGGTCAAGTCACATTTTGTATCCCGGTCCCGGTCAGGCCTGAAATCATGTCCCGGTCACCTCCTGGTCAGAATCAAGCACCTGTTGACATCCTCTGAAACCGTTGAGGAACTTGGAGAAGGTAGGCATGACTGTTGATAGAATATTTATAATACCTAGAACACTAGATCGGCTCACTCCCCTTGCATGCCTTTGACACGTACGTCTCACATCCCTTGATACGAGAACCCCCCCTTTAGCAAGAGCTCCCGTCCCTTATGTGATCTACGAGTCGAGCAGTCGATCATGTTTACTTCTTAATGTACAGCTATGATTTACAGAATTGACATGTGAACTCTACCCCAGATCTAGCACATTTCTATGTCAATTAAATTCAATCCATGGATCACATCACTAATTATACGTCACTAATTGGTGACGTGATCTGACCCCTCTTTGGGGGCCGGATCAGTTTCCGGTCCCAAAGTCTCCCAGTGCCTTTCTCCACTTGAATATATACACATAGTTTTTATAAATGAGGATCGAACGATATAACATCGTTTGATCTTTATCTTTCGTGGTAAAAGTTTCCGGTGGATTAGAATAATATTGACATAATCAGAAAAGGGGTGAGGGTTCCAGAGTTGAAAAATACGTGAGATAATTTTTTAAATACGCCGTATTTAACGTTTTTTTGCTTAGAAATAAAATACGTCAAAAATACTTTAAAATACGTTTGCCTATTTTTTTCGTAATTGCATTCAAAAACTTAATAAGTTATGTCTTTCGTTCGCAATTTTTTCAGACACATCGTCATTACGGTTCGTAATGATTCGTATTTGCACGCTTTGGTACGCTTTAGCACGTGCACAGTTCCCTTAAATCATACGCGAGGTGATAAACTACAGAGCTACGCGAGTTTTAATCAAACTTTTATCTTGTATAAATAGAAATAGTACTTATTATTTCATTGGAGCTCTTAATGCTACAAAATCACTTGTAACGTATTTGAACGAATTTTATTCAGCGAAAATAAAATACGCCGTATTTAACGTTTTTTTGATATTATATAAAATACGTTAAATACGTATTTTTCAACTCTGGAGGGTTCTGTCGACGTTTATTAACTTAGAAAGTTCAAATAATCACAATTATTTGAATTATTTAATTATAATTTTTCGTGATCCAAAGGTAACTGGTAAAGTAATAATTGGTAGTGGTATAAAACCTGATACACGAGCCGTTGACGGACAACTAAGAACCTTTCAATTTTACCTAGTTAACTAATTAACATGCAAGCTTGGGAAATCCAATCAGCTCCGTCAACTAAGAACCAATCAATACATATCCCCGACAACTAAGAACCTCTGGAGATACTTAAAGCATTCAGATTTCCACTGATTTCACAGCTGTGCTATATATATTTCTGCATTATTTAAGATTAGGAGAAGCTTTTTTTAAGATTATGATAGTTCAAACTCACTATAATAATTGCATACAAAATAAATTACTCAATCTCATGGCCACTGCAGTATTTGAGTATTTGGCAATCTCAATCGCCCAGCAGAGTAGATGGCTGTATCTTTAGGATTCTAGAGGGAGTAGATATTAACATGTACCCGTCCGTGTCCAAACACTTCTTCATATACTTCATAATACACAGCTACTTACTAAACTGTCATTTGAACCTTACCCAGGTTCTTGCTTGTCCGGCTGGTAGGATGGTTATAATATGGATCACATCAAAATTGATACGTCACTGATTGGGCCATGTGATGGATTACCTTACAAGACATATTTATAACGTACGAAATGTGGCGGTTTTCCCGAAATTTCGCCATATTTCCGGACCGCCAAAATTTCGGTCGTCGTAATAGAATCCGTCGCATTATTTTTAGCTTATTCCAATAATTGTGGCTTCATCGATTCATTTTGTTCTTGAAAAGTTAGTGATATGATGGTGGGACAAATAAACACAATATTCCATGATGAATTTAATGTCAAGTAATACGTTTTAAATTTACAATAAATTACATTTATGTGCTAACATAAACGTCTTATAAGAGACTAAGTCAAGATAAACAATTTAATACCAAACTCAATAAGTAAAAACTGAAAGAGTCGAGCCGGACCCCTTAGAGGAAGATGAAGAAATCGATTTATAAGTTTCATTTTGTTTCAACATGATTTTACCGATTTTAAAAAATTTTTGAATTTCCTTTGTGTCAGAAAACAAAATGAAAAATACCCTTATTTTCTGTGACGTCCGAAATGTGACGGTTTTTGTTCAATTTCGCCATATTTTCGGACCGCCAAAATTTCGGCCGTCGCAAATTGGTCCGCCACAAAAATGTCTTGTAAGGTACACAGGATTTACACAGGATTTTACACAGGATTAATTAAATTATAGATTCATTATCATGGAC